TTCTCCATAACACCATTTCCCAGACAGATCTATTTCTGAGTATCAAGTTTTTAGTTCATCTTAGTTTGTATTTCTAAACCCATGACTGTCAGCCACATATTTGAAAAGCCATCTATTTCTCAGGCATTTAAACTAACCTGTTCATGGATATGCATGGCTTGTAAACCTCCTTCCATATACCAATCTTAATGAGATTTTGCTCTTCAGCCTTCCAGTTACGGGCAAAACAATCTGGTTTTGTGACTCTGGTGTGTCTGCTTCGAATGTGAAATAGGCTGGCAAGTTTCTGTCTCTCATTTTTGTATCTGGATGAAAATTTACGTTATGCACAGAGAAGCACAGTTTAAAATCAATAATAAAAATACTTTCATCTAACTTTTCTAGATTTCATTTATTTTCAGGTGTTTGTAAGGATAAAAAAATTTACCAGAGTTTATTTATCAGAGTCTAGAAAATGGAGAAATTTATCAGAGTCTATAAAATGGAGCTCAAAAAAAAAAAAAAAATCCCTATCTAATTGTTAACAGCAATTGTGTCCAAAGTAAATCCCATTTAATATGGAGTAGAGGATGTATAGGTAATTTCCAATTTAGGCAGAAAGCCAAACAGCACAATAGATTTTATATTTTTCTCCAGGTGTGTAAATTGTTAATTAAACAAATTCAATTAGTTAAGTGAAGTATAAAGGACTGTATCCCAATAATGCTCAGCATTTAACCTTTACCTCTAGCTATGGATTATTAGCAGTATGAAATGTCTTTTGTGCAGCCTGAGAACTCATCCCTGGGCTCCCTGGGTGCTGGCTGTGACTGCCTGTGCCCAGGGGACTGCACGTGGCTGCCACACTTCTGGCCAGCTCATCCATGTAATCTGACCTTCTGCATGCTGCACTCCAGTAAAGGGAGGCAAATACTCTTAAATCACCATCGGGATAGCTTAACACATTTTAATTTGCATTTACAAGAGGTGACAACTGTGCTTAGAGTCAAATTCTGTGGAAGTTTATCAAAGAACCTTCATTTACAGGCAGCAACACATGAGCATTGATCCAGATGTTTTCGAGAAGTTCCTTCCACCCTATTTTTTTCCCTGCAATTATAAGAATTATATAATTGAGTGACTAAGAATCAAAGCTTCTCAATCAGTGAACTCTGATAGCCAAAAGTAACCAGACTATCTCAGCTGGAGTTATCATCACTATGCTGACGTTACAGTAGATCTTCGAGTCATAGACTAAAGTTTGGGAAATATCTCTGAGATCATCAAACCCAACCTTTGAGCAAACATCACTGTGTCAACTAAACCATAGCACTTAGTGCCATATTGAGTCATTTCTTGGACAGTCCCAGGGAGATAGTGAATCCACCACTTCCCTGGGCAACGCTTTCCGGTGAAGAAATTCTTCCTGATGTCCAAGCAGCTGGAGTCCTCTTGTATCACTGGTGGTGCATGGGGTTCTTGTGAAGGAACTCTTGAAGGGAAAGGGATTTTGGGCACCAATAAATAACTATGGTGCCAACTCAAAGGGGTTATCTTCAAATACCTGTAGCCCAGACTAGCTAACCTGTTATGTCCCTGAACTGCATGAAGCTTTTAGTGCTGCTGAAGAGTTTCCTAAAGCTCTCCTGGAGCAGGAATAAATTGTTGAGGAAGGAGATATGGGAATGGGGATATTACAGAGCTCACTGGTGAGGTAGTGGTTATAGCCCCAAGCTTTATAGGTTTAAATCTCCATATTTGTTATTGGACTGTATCTGTTATTTTATAATAACATGATGATTTTTCTTCACAGACTGGTGGTCTCAGAGAGTTCAGAGCAAAAGTCTGACTCTGTTTGTCTGAACTAAGAATTCCTGATTCAAACTCAGGAATTTTCTGATCAGACAGACTAAGAAGCCCAAAACAGACAAATGAGAAGTCAGATGACTCAGAGGACTTAGTCCTGGACCACTTCCTTATCTCATAATCTTTGAAAATTACAAGTGCACATGCCCTACAAAGTTAAGCCAAATTAAAATGGTTTTATTATTGATTTAAAAGATTCTAAAACCTCAGAATCAGATGCAGAACACTCACAGAGTGTGTCACAAATTGAATTCATTCTTTTCAAAGAAATGTTTCCATTCAGGAAAAGAAAATCAATTTTTTGAATGTAGTAGGCAGACAGATCAATTTGTTGTAGAGCTGTTGTTCAAGGAATCCTCAAAGTCTCATATTATCCAGGTTTTAAAAAAAATTGATCTAATTTAAATTTTTTAAATATGTAAATTATGCTCTCATCTGATTTCTGATGTGAGTCGGTCAAAGAGTGGGACTGCACCATAGGAATCAGTTCACAGATGGTTTGTGGGGGTTTTTATTTATCTTGGTTTAACCTTCATTATGGTGGTATTGAAGGGCCCTTTTGAGAGCCTGGTTCTGTGTGGGCAGGCAAGGAAGGGGATGGACCCTGCAGGAGTTGAAAGGGCACAGCAGACGGACAGGAGGGAAATGGGAAAGACAAGAAATGGATACACATGAAGTGAGCAGCCACTGGGGGTGGAAAAAGGACTTTTGGTTCATGGCTCACTTAATTAATCAAGGCAACAACACATAGACACCACACCAGATTTAATTTTGGGAGATTTTCAAGCCACAACAATGCACACCCAAACATGAAAATACAAAAAAAACACCAGTCTAGAAAACATATGCCTATAATTCTGAGGTTTATATTACTTTTTCAGTAATAAAATCCTTGATAGTTTCACCCTTGTTTTTGGCATGCTCAGCTTGGATCACTTTAACACAAACTAATTCCAAACATTTGTGACGCTTGTCATAGTTTGCCTGCATTTTGGGACTTCCTATCACCAATGTTTAGCTGAGGATTTTCATGGACTGCATATTCAAGTAGGATTATGCTTTCCCTGTCCTAAATCAGAAACCTAAAGCTGGTGACTGGGGAAGCCTGAGAGTCTCTACATCACTGTCAAACGTCTTCCCCTTATGATCTGAATCTGGAGAGCAGGTACAAAGCTACTCTGTATTTAGATTAATGAATGGAAATTCTCTGCTTTAAATATTTCATATTGACTGAACAACAGTGATTTTTCTGTGTTGCTCATATCCAGATGCTATTCAATCCCTATGTTCTCCTAAGTAGCCATTGGCTCGGGTATACCAAAACTTCTTTTCTCAAGTGGGATAATGCCATCCCTGGAAACATTCAAGGCCAGGCTGCTCTGGGCTCTGAGCAACCTGATCCAGTTGAAGGTGTCCTGCTCATTGCAAAGGAGTTGGAGAAGAAAAATTGTAAAAGTCCTTTCCACCCCAAACCATTCTGTGATTCTATAATATCATTTTCTTCAATGAAGCTCCACATCAGTCACCAAAGGAATAGTAACAGCACCTACCTCCCAGTACATCAATAATTTTCTTTCCTTGCAGCTGTGATGGCCAAGGCCTGAGAAGGACCTGGGTTATGGCTATCATCCTTTGTAGCTACGTTTTTCTTTGAAAGAAATAAAATTCCATCCAGTCATTTCACGACACCTTTTGAGTTTCATGGTGTTGGTAGCATGATAAGGTTTTGCTTTCTAAACATAGAGTAGACATCTCAAGTGAGTATTAATAACCTGCCTAATATTTTTATCTCATTCACATATAAGCCCAACTTTGAGCATGCAAATAAATTTTTGAAGTTGGTGGGAACTTGCCTGTGACATCCTAAATTTGCTTTAGCCCAATGTGCATTATTGGGGCACTTAATGATTTTTGTCCTGAGCATTTTAATGCCCATTCTAGCATCTGTCATGCATGAAATTCCTCTTACTGACACACTTATGTGGATAATCTGGCATTTAACTCCTATCTTCACTGAGTCAGGTGCATTTTGCTTTCATCTTTATTCTAAGCCAATATGGTATTTGCTGATTACCTTTATCAATCTCCCTGTGCTAAATTTGAGTATATTCACTGAACAAACTGCACTATAAACAACCTGTTTGGTATGTAGATAAGAACTGGATCCTTGTAATCCAAAATTGTTATTACTTCAGGCCCCAAAAGTGTAATTTAAGATCAAAGCTTGAATTGGTGTCATAAATGCAATTCAAATAAAAGGAAAACCTGAATGATTTTCAGATAAATAAAATCAGGCTAAATAAATGAAAATCTATAACAATTTAGTTCACATAATTTAGTAAATTTAATTTAATTTTGTGGGTTTTTTGTTAGATCTACAAACACAAAGAACTCAAGGTGTTAATCAGCTGAAGAGGTGAGAGCCGAGAGTACAAGTTTTTCCTAGTACTTCACAATTTTACATCACTCAATTTTTCTACTGTATGCAACAGTAAAATATAATTAATATAATATAATATAATATAATATGTATTCTAACTTCTAAATCTTATTTGCTACAATTTCACACATTCTTTTTTGTATGTTTTATTTTCCTTTACACAATTTTCCTAGCTCGTGTCCATTACTTCTCATATCTTTAATACTCATTGTTTTACTTTTTTTAGGTAAAAACAATTTAAAACATACACACATAAAAAGAGCAGGATTAGCAACAAAATATTGTTAGGTAGTAAGGAAAAAAAAAGAAAAAAAAAGTTCTACAGTTTGATATGAATAGAAATGTTGATAAGCAATAAAATATACATGATGGACCAGCTCTATAAACAGCCCCAATATATTGGTCAGTGTTTTGAATATAATTTCTGCATTTTCTTGTTTTCACTTAAATATATACTGATGCAGGGAACAAAATCATGCATGCAACTTTAGTTTAGTCTACCTATGATCATGCAAACTTATCAACAGAATTTAATAAATAACTGAAATGGAATTGTATACTCCCAAACGTGGTTAAATTTTACTTTTTCTTTCTGTAATAAAAGTTTAATAACATTTACAAGAGCTAAAGAGCTACAAGAAAAGTGACAGCTAATATAAATATTTTCTTGATCATCATTTGATAAATACATTTTTTATTCTTTCCCTAGATATTCAGCTCTTTTCAACAGAATAACAAGGAGCAGGTAAGTTACAATGATGAATTATTCTTTCCAGTTGCATGTTCTATTTATAGCCTTTTCAATCATTAGAGCTTTTAATTTGTCTTGGGTTTGCTAGTTTTCACACTCCCATGTATTTTTTTATGAAATAATTTATTACAATCTATATTTCTTTCTTTTCAAAATTATAATCCAATTACTTTCTCAGTAAACAAGAATTCCTCCTTTTTATGTGAAATGAACTACCAGCCAAAGCAGTTTCTGATTAGACAAGCTAATTTTGAAAGAACAGATAGAATGAAGCAATGAACTGGATAGAAATAATAATGGAGCATACCTTGTTAGATAACAAATGGAACAGACTTTGGAGACAATTAATGCATGAGATACTTAATGCTGAGGTATGTTAACCAAATTTTGTCTTATTTATTTGCTGCTATAAATCATAGCTAGTTTCCTTAAATAATGTGCTCTAACCACCCAGGTTACATCATATTTCTGTAAATAACTGCTGTGTTCTTTACTGGAAACCTCAGCACCCTTTTTAGGAGGGCATGGATATATTTATATATACATAGATATAAATATAGACAGATCAATTGATTGATCCAGTAAGGGAAACTGGTCTAACAATGTTTGGGATTAATTTTGCTGGGAAATACTTGGTAATTTTGTCCAGTGGATAAATATTATTTCTTCTAGTTTGGGTTTTTTAATGAGCTACAGACTGAGGGTGATTACTTGCTGGAGCTGATTCTGTTTCAAGTTTTTTGCCAAAGTAGCACTTATTATTGGGTTTGTTGTGAAAAGAGGTGTGGCAGGCCTTGTTCCTCAATTTCCTGCACTTGAATAAATCCTACCTCCTTGAGCCTGAGTATCAGCTCTTTACAGTCCAGTTGGAATAGATAAGGATGAGATCACTTATAAATATGAAAAAACATCTTCCCTTACTAGCATTGCATCCAACTCAAGTTTGAGAGCCATCAAAAAGACTTCATTTTAAATGTGTGCTATTAAAGATATTAGCAGAAAGGTAGAAAAAACCACCAGCACGATGAACAGTTAATCTTTAGCCTTGAAGAAGGGAAGGGAATCATGAGTCTTTAGCTCTTCCTGCAATCCCTGTAGGTACCCACATTATGAAGATTACATTGTTTTCCTGAGCTCTTATAACTTCTATGAAACCAGTCCTTCTACTCCTGTTTGTGTTGCAAACTTCAGTTTTACTTAATGCTTTAATAACAAAAACTTCTGGTGGTGGTGTTTCTGGATAAATAAAACCAATCCTCCTAAATGTGTGAATGGGTTTTATTACAAAAGTATTAACCCATTCCATCTGTGTTTACTGCTTCCTGCTTTTATTTTTCAGCACTAATCACATGGATGGTAATATTTCTTGGTGAATGGTAACCTATCTGTAAGCACAGCATATAGTGATTTTTTTTTGCTTCCAGATATTTCCCCTTATTAATTTTCTTTCGAGATTATGGTGCCAAATCCCTCTTGTCTCTCCTGTCTGTATATGAAATCATCTCAAGCTGCCTTCTCTCCCTTACACAAATTGAACCTTAGTACTGATCCAGTAAAATAATTTCACAGTTTCAACATCCTACTTTACTTATGAATATTTGCCTAATTCTGTATCACTTCTCATCTCCTCTATTCACAGTTTTCTAATAAGGACTTTTGATTTCCTCTTGAGAGTTCCTACCTTGCAAGAAAGTCCTTTCCAAGATCATTACCTTTCAGGCCTTGTGATTTCTCTTGGAGTACCCACTCCTGTCCTGTGACTATCCAATTTACCAGTGGAGATTATTTTTATATAGATTAGAGCCTTTCTGCCTTTTAAAAGTCCTTAAAATGTCAGAGAACCACTCTGCCAGAGAACACACAAATGTAGTTACAATTGAATGACAAGTGTTAATAAACATGACCAAATCTAACTTGGCCTGCCTGCTCCCTCTCATTCTATAGGTATCCAGTTAAGAACAAAAGCTGAAGATTTAAGAGTCATCTAGGTTAGTGGAAAGGTGGTCACAGACAAGAGAGTCATTGCATGTTTTGTTTGTACATCATATTTTCATTTCTCATGGGGTCTGTTGCCAGAAAAAGACTTTTGCCTTCCCATGTCTCCATCAGAACATCCAGGTGCTTCATACTCCAGTCAAATGTGACATAATTTAGTAATTGCTGTAATGTGGGCTTCTATTTGGATATTATTTTCTTCCTGGCCAGATGTAGGCCAGGTTTTGGTGCTGCTGCAGAGCAAAAGATTTAGCACCCAGGCAGGTTGAGCTTTAAGATTCAGCTGTCTTAGGATGTGCAATGAAGGGATAGATTCAAATTGAATCTCTCCCATGGAAACACCAAGGCTGATGTGTTCCTAGTTTATCCTGATTAAGTTGGAGACACAAGGGCTGAAAGACACCTGAATGCAGGAACCAGGGAGATGGGAGAGCAAGAGCCATTCTGAGGAGAAGAAGTGATGGAGGCAGATTGTAACAGGAACCAGCAGTGATTTCAAACAATTATTGTATCAAAACTGCTCCCCCCTGAGAGGGGCCTGGGGACCAGGGGGCTCTCTGAGGAGTGATGGTGAATGATCTAGCCAGGAGAAAATGGAGACTTCAAGGCTTGCCTGTATTTCACTAGAAAGTTGAGTAAAATCAGCTCATTTCTGGGAAATTGTTCTGCTTTGATGAACCAGCATTTTCTGTAGGAAGACAAATATTCTGTTGATTATTTTGACCGTCCTAGTTTTCATATCTTGTGCTATTTCTCTCTACTCCTTGACTTGCAGGAATTGTCATTTTTAGTTACATTTGCACATTGCCCCAACACTGGCTGGAGGTCATAGATTACAGCATGATTAGCCATAGAAATTGAGAGATTTAGGATGGTTTTTGTTTCCTATCTAATTAATGCTGCCCCCTGACTAATGCTGCCAGAAATTGATACTGTCACATGACTGATCAAGCCTCAAAAATTGAACCATAATGCAACATTTCAAATGTTTCAATATATTTTTTGGTATTGCTGGCATAGAAATATACCACAGCAAAACACTAAATTGCTAAGTGTGGATAGTTTATACCCAAGCAAAGTACAATCACAAGTGATGACACTGTTCTCCTCTCTCTTTTGTGGCAAAGCTGATTTAAATTTTAGTTCACACTTTTTAATTTATTTCTCCTTTTAATTTCCTCTTTTCATATAGGGAAAATTATGATCTTATGAAGCTGGCATTAAATGATCAAACAATTTTGAACAACCTAATGAAAATCTTAAGCAAAAGTCATTGTGAATTAGGTATTTGCTAAACTGACAACACAAGCCTTTGTAAACCTGATATTGTTCTTATGTAAACTCATGAATGGAGACTTTCTCAAATAAATTACTTAATAACATCAGAGTCATTGGCTGAGTAAATATATCCCAGGGGCGCATACTAAGATTCCTGAATTTAAATGTTGAATAGAACTTCATATTTGTCACCTTTACTAACGAGTTTTTCCTTATGAAATCATTATTAGCATGAAAAAGTTAAATTTTGTATCTAATTTCTTGAATTAATGCTGTTTGAAGACCCTAAGGGTTTGAAAGTTCTTTCACTGGAATTCATCATTTACATAATTTTCATAGCCCCAACACTTTGCTCTCTGCTATGAATGCACATTGTGGGGTTTTTATGCATTAAAGCAGCAACTTCTATTTTTCTCCACACAAAACAATTAAGAGAAGAATAACAGGTAATAAACATTTTTAATCTTTAATATTACATTAACAGTGAAGTGCCATATTTCATGCTTTCACAGCCACATTGCATGCTGAATGATGCATTTCTGGTCCCTCACTATGAAGATATTTGATTAGAAAAGAAAAACAATTGAGTTATTTGAGATCAGTGGAGCTTTCCATCATTTCCTGCTTGAGAAACTTGCGAGTGCACAGCAGCATGGCCAGATTTTTAAGCAGACTAGACCATATTTTCTCAACTCTACATCATCATAGTTCAGCCATGATCTATGAATGTTTACTTGATTTTTTTTTTGTTGCTAATATAGCTTATTATATGGGATATTTATTCTCTTTTAAGCTGAAACCAGTGCTGCACAGTTTCTGACCAAAATCTCCCTTGATGTTAACCTCTCCTCTGCCTACTGTTATTAATAATAAATTTTATTACTGCTGGTCTTTTGTACTTGGGGTCATGGACATAGGGTAGAAGTAAGAGACGTGGGTAGGATGGACCCAAAGTGGAAAATCAAATTAGCAGCAAAGAGAGATTTAATATCTGCATCCTTTGGGCTCAGCATTGCTGCAAAGGAAACATGACAGTCCAGACAGTGTTTTGCACAGAAAAACTGAACTTATAACTGTGTCAGGGCTAAACTTGTTTGAAAACAGCCTACAAATAACCATTATGTGGTGGACAAATCTGTTCCCCAATTTAACAATGTGCATAAGAATTTTTATTGCTATTGCTGCCATTATTATTATTATTATTATTATTATTATTATTATTATTATTATTATTATTATTATTGTCTGTGCACAGTGAAAGCACTAATGTAAATGATGTATTCTGGTTTATGCCAAATTTTTGGTAAGGATTCAATGTAAGATGAAGATTCCACTCTTAGGTATGCATTTCTCACCCCACTATGGGTATCTAAAAGGCCATTGTACCCACATAAGATGAACTGACTTTACCAAATGCTTCTCCCTTGGCTGGGATGGGAACACATTTAATGGAATTACTTCTATATTTTCAATATTTAAAGTCTAAATCTGAAGCCAAAATTTGATTCATTTGCCCATATATTCACATCTAGTACTATTTAGGAAGCCTAGTGTCATGTACTCATTTAATAAAAGAATTTATGCCACCTTCTTACAGCAGCTCCTGGAATTAGTGTCTACTATCCCAGCTCAAAATGAAGAAGCAGCTCCATGTAGTTTAAACTGAACATAATTTACCTTGCACTTCTAAATGCAATGCAATGTGGTGAATACTGACTCTT